ACACCGGAAGCAGGACGCATATACGTACTGACAACGTTTCCAAAGGTAAATGACATCGTGGGACAAAACATAAAATATAAAACTTTGTTGTTTGTCTTTTGTAAAATATATTTCATAGTATAAACAATAAATTAAATTTAATCAGATATTTTTATCACAGCTATGCACTTACCGGTATTTTGTTATCGCGTGATAAAGTTGGGCCACGTGACACGACTTGTTTCACGTAAAGTAAACTTATTTGTATTCTGTGGCAGTTTTGTGTGGTGGTTTTGAAAAATACTGTTTATGATGAAAATGCAAGTTTACATTTATATCCAGATAAACCACGAAAGAAGCAAAAACTATAGCAAGATTTTTTTCCATTTGTGACATGTCATAAAATGCCCGTGACCTCTTCTTTTATATTTTCATTTTTACGTGATCAGAAAATTTCTTAAATAATATGTATGGTCGCCTATTTCCCGATATCAGTGGCTTTTCGCTCGGTAACATGACAACGGAAAATACCTCCGTTTTCGAAGCTTCGTATGAATAACATGCGAGGCGAATCGTTTGATGTCGGGCATCGTTCGAAAGCTCTGAACATCAACAATATCACTGTACCCTTGTCGAGAGTATTTTTCACACTTGTAAGAAGCAATTTTATTGGATAAAAATTGGTTTCTAATGACGCTTTTTCGCCACAGTCTGCTATTAGTTGTCGTGATTGGTCAAAACCAGACACGTGACCTAAGGCAGCCAATCATATTACGGCAATGGATAACGTCCTCGTAAACGAAAACCTTAGATGTAGACGAAAGTTTTGGGTAAAATAATGCTATTCTGAACATATTAAGCAAGAAATCGCTACCTATACGTAAATTATGGGATTTATTTGACGTATCGTGCTAGGTTATGACCTGTGACAAAAATGATTCATGCATATATTTTCGCATTAAAACATCGTGTCCGAGCGTGAAGATTGAGACGGCGATACCGATTCGTACGGGGAAAGGGGCCGACTTATACTTGAGTTACATGGTTTTGGCAAGAATTTAGGGGGTTGAGAAAGGGGCCCGACTTATAGTCGGATCCGACTTATAGTCGGTCATATACGGTAAGCCAGAAGAGACTTCTGGCAAAGGGGACATCGAAAACTGTACCAGTGTTAAACAGTCATGATCTTCACTTCTGACCTTACATCATATTATTCCTTTGATTACTGGACCCAGAATACCTTTGGGTGATGAAAAATCGATGAATTTCCTTAGACCTGAGCAAATGGTTCTCCTCTGCACCTGCTGTCCTACTGTCACAGAGACACATCATCCATACTCAGGATTTTTATTTCCATTTATCTTGAGAAAAGCAAAGAATTATACCCAAAGTCATCATTCATACCTAAAGAGCTCTCTATTATCCATTTTCAAGACAAATGTTGTTATTTGGGTCCTTAAGGCACCACTGGTGTATGCGCTTTGGAGGGAAGCATGGGTTTTGCAAGGAACTTCAAAAATCTTCCATTTTTTCTTTCAAAGCATCACCAGCTGCACGTGTTTGAAGCAAACTTGAATAAAGGGTGAAATGTCAAATAACTTTCTTTATGATGACGATTCAGTTCAGAAAGGCCAGGAAATTAATTTTTCCACCAGATACCCCACACTGTCATAAATACTGGCTGATCCAAGTCACACAGAGGCATATGATAAGTGAAAGTACACAGCACACCATCTGTATCTATACATGGCCTGCATTATCAGACTGGATGTTGTAGCAGAACATGATGAAGATACACCAGTATTGGCTGTTCTCAAAGGTATTGTAGTGTATTGCAAAGAAAAATACTTTGTCCTCCAAAGCACAGACAAACTATCTTGGTTTAATGAACATATTTTGCATTACATTTTAAAACCAAATACTTAGAAAGACTTCATATTTGAGATCATTCACAAGTCTGCAAAGTAAGTGATCACTCAGTGTATATAATTATACACAGTAAAAAAAGTGTTGCACCCCCATATTAAAACTCTGGTTACGTTGGCATATCCAAAACACACGATCAGGTTGTTGATGATAACCATTCTGCTAGGATTTGGTGTTGAAGTCATTAATGTTTTCGTAGTGAAAACGATCTCTAAAACATAGCAACCTGCACGTGAATATCATACTTCATGATTTTTGCAAATTGCAGTATGCTCATGTGATGAATCTCGCCTATAAAAATTGTTTTTCTGGCCGTTGAATCCATTGTAACGCAGCATGCCGGGTGCGAGAATAGCAGATGCAGTCAAGTGGCAGATTATTGGACTCCATAGGGCAGGTCTGTCCTTCAAGGAGATTGGCAGAAGAACCGGGCGTCATTACTCCACAATAAGCCGCCTGGTGAGAAAACATGCGCAGACTAATGATGTAAAGAATCGCAGACCTTCAGGCAGACCACGTATAACCACAGTCAGGGATGGCAGAGCATTGCTAAGGCTGGTCAGGCGACAACCCTTTGCTTCAAGTGCAACCCTGAAACGCCAATGGCTTCCTCATCGTCAGATCAGCGACCAAACAGTGAGAAATCGTTTCAAGGCCGCTGGATTGAGGTCCAGAAGAGTCATCAAGAGCCCCCAACTCACAGAGAACCACTAGAGGTTACGTCTAGCCTGGTGTAGACAAAGACAAGGGTGGAACTTGAGGTCTTGGAGAAAAGTCCACTGGTCAGACGAGAGCAGATTTCTTCTGCATGTTGTGGATGGCAGAGTCAGAGTTTGGAGGCGTCCGGGTACAGCTTATGCACCTAGGAACATCATGCCAACGGTACCATATGGAGGTGGATCGGTTATGGTATGGGGTTGCTTCTCATTTGACTGTAAGCTGTATCTAGTGACCATACAAGGCACTTTCACGGGCGATTGCTACATTCAGGAAGTGCTTGATCCAGTTGTTGTGTCCCATTTTGACAATCATCCACTTGCAACCAGGCCAATATTCATGGATTATAATGCTCGGCCACATCGTTCACGAGCTGTGACCCAGGTCATCCAGAACAATGCACTGACTCACCTCCCATGGCCAGCAATGAGTCCAGATCTCAATCCCCTGGTACACATATGGGACATTTTGGGCCGTCTGATACAACGCAGGGATCCTCCTCCACAGAACGTCGCGGGAACTGGAAGCAGCATTGCCGCGAAGAGTGGCAGCAGCTGCCCATAGAGCGATTTCGGACGTCTGGTGAGGGGTATGAGACGACGACTGGAAGCTGTTATCCAAGTACTGGGCGGAAGTTCACGATATTGACTGTTAGGTGTTTGTCCACTCTCTGTATGTCAGTTTCAGCCTAAGAGAAGTTTTGTTTCGACATTAAATTTCCATTTTTTACCATACTTAAAACCGTCTCGTTTTCCTTGAATTTGAACACAATACTTAAGGGCAAGATCCTTACATACCATGAGGTCAGGGGATACCCCATTTCAGTTCATTTTATAGGCACAAGACTGGTTTTTGGTGTATGCACCATCCAGGTTCTAATTCCCATTCTGTTATCGTTCAGTTACGCCAAAAACATCATACCCCGGAAAAAAAGATAGGGGGTGCAACACTTTTTTTACCGTGTATATAATGAAAAGCCAGCTACAATGAATTCTAAACTCTCACACTTTGGGAATTCTTCTAAGTTGACAGTAGTCTACTGTGCGAATTGCATCCTTGAAAATCCCAAATGCCTTTATGCAAAGTCTTGAACAACACAAGAAGCTTGAAAAAGTGTGTTTTTGCTCAATCTCTAGAAGAGTTGAAGGAGAAAGGTAAATGTTACTGATATAATGAGGTATTTGGGAAACAGCGTCGCTTAAGGGTTTCAGCGTTATCAATATTCATGCAGCATGATAAACAGTCTATCTTAAAAAGAGAGTGTAATGTTTGATTCAGATAAGTAAAATAACTTACCCATGAATTGTCATTCCATCCATACGGTTGTTTAAATTGATAAGGATTCTGTTATACCTTGTTGATCAGTGATATCAGGACTGTTTGACTTGCAGCTTGCAAAACACTGGATGTTGACAATCATGACATACGAGTCAACACATTAAGTGATGGAACAGAAACTGATGAGGATGATACAGATGTGCTCATACTCCTACAATCTGTACCAGCAACACCATTGGGAACCTGTACCAGCAACACCACTGGGAACCTGTACCAGCAACACCATTGGGAACCTGTACCAGCAACACCATTGGGAACCTGTACCAGCAACACCATCGGGAACCTGTACCAGCAACACCACTTGGAACCTGTACCAGCAACACCATTGGGAACCTGTACCAGCAACACCATTGGGAACCTGTACCAGCAACACCACTGGGAACCTGTACCAGCAACACCATCTGGGAACCTGTACCAGCAACACCATTGGGAACCTGTACCAGCAACACCACTGGGAACCTGTACCAGCAACACCATCGGGAACCTGTACCAGCAACACCACTGGGAACCTGTACCAGCAACACCTGGGAACCTGTACCAGCAACACCATCGGGAACCTGTACCAGCAACACCATCGGGAACCTGTACCAGCAACACCATTGGGAACCTGTACCAGCAACACCACTGGGAACCTGTACCAGCAACACCATTGGGAACCTGTACCAGCAACACCATCGAACCTGTACCAGCAACAACCAGCAACACCATCTGTGCCAAGGAACCTGTACCAGCAACACCATTGGGAACCTGTACCAGCAACACCACTGGGAACCTGTACCAGCAACACCATCGGGAACCTGTACCAGGAACACCATCGGGAACCTTACCAGCAACACCATTGGGAACCTGTACCAGCAACACCACTGGGAACCTGTACCAGCAACACCATCGGGAACCTGTACCAGCAACACCATTGGGAACCTGTACCAGCAACACCATCGGGAACCTGTACCAGCAACACCATCGGGAACCTGTACCAGCAACACCACTGGGAACCTGTACCAGCAACACCATTGGGAACCTGTACCAGCAACACCACTATGAACCAGTACCAGCAACACCATCGGGAACCTTTACCAGCAACACCATTGGGAACCTGTACCAGCAACACCATCGGGAACCTGTACCAGCAACACCATCGGGAACCTGTACCAGCAACACCATCGGGAACCTGTACCAGCAACACCACTGGGAACCTGTACCAGCAACACCATTGGGAACCTGTACCAGCAACACTATCGGGAACCTGTACCAGCAACACCACTGGGAACCTGTACCAGCAACACCATCGGGAACCTCTACCAGCAACACCATCGGGAACCTGTACCAGCAACACCATCGGGAACCTGTACCAGCAACACCATCGGGAACCTGTACCAGCAACACCACTGGGAACCTGTACCAGCAACACCATCGGGAACCTGTACCAGCAACACCATTGGGAACCTGTACCAGCAACACCATCAGGGAACCTGTACCAGCAACACCATTGGGAACCTGTACCAGCAACACCATCGGGAACCTGTACCAGCAACACCACTGGGAACCTGTACCAGCAACACCATTGGGAACCTGTACCAGCAACACCATTGGGAACCTGTACCAGCAACACCACTGGGAATCTGTACCTGCAACACCATCGGGAACCTGTACCAGCAACACCACTGGGAACCTGTACCAGCAACACCACTGGGAACAGATAACATCCAGCCCGCAACACAGGAACTGAGTACAGTTGAAGACACTGCACACCATGAGAGTAGTGTCAGCTTGTTAACGGCTGATAACATCCAGCCCGCAACACAGGAACTGAGTACAGTTGAAGACACTGCACACCATGAGAGTAGTGTCAGCTTGTTAATGGCTGATAACATCCAGCCCGCAACACAGGAACTGAGTACAGTTGAAGACACTGCACACCATGAGAGTAGAGTCAGCTTGTTAACAGCTGATAACATCAAGCCCCCAACACAGGAACTGAGTACAGTTGAAGACACTGCACACCATGAGAGTAGTGTCAGCTTGTTAACGGCTGATAACATCCAGCCCGCAACACAGGAACTGAGTACAGTTGAAGACACTGCACACCATGAGAGTAGAGTCAGCTTGTTAACAGCTGATAACATCCAGCCCGCAACACAGGAACTGAGTACAGTTGAAGACACTGCACACCATGAGAGTAGTGTCAGCTTGTTAACAGCTGATAACATCCAGCCCCGCAACACAGGAACTGAGAACAGTTGAAGACACTGCACACCATGAGGTAGTGTCAGCTTGTTAACGGTTGATAACATCAAGCCCGCCAACACAGGAACTGAGTACAGTTGAAAACACTGCACACCATGAGAGTAGTGTCAGCTTGTTAACGGCTGATAACATCCAGCCTCCAACACAGGAACTGAGTACAGTTGAAGACACTGCACACCATGAGAGTAGTGTCAGCTTGTTAACAGCTGATAACATCCAGCCCGCAACACAGGAACTGAGAACAGTTGAAGACACTGCACACCATGAGAGTAGTGTCAGCTTGTTAACGGTTGATAACATCAAGCCCGCAACACAGGAACTGAGTACAGTTGAAAACACTGCACACCATGAGAGTAGTGTCAGCTTGTTAACGGCTGATAACATCCAGCCTCCAACACAGGAACTGAGTACAGTTGAAGACACTGCACACCATGAGAGTAGTGTCAGCTTGTTAACGGCTGATAACATCCAGCCCGCAACACAGGAACTGAGTACAGTTGAAGACACTGCACACCATGAGAGTAGTGTCAGCTTGTTAACGGCTGATAACATCCAGCCCCCAACACAGGAACTGAGTACAGTTGAAGACACTGCACACCATGAGAGTAGTGTCAGCTTGTTAACAGCTGATAACATCCAGCCCGCAACACAGGAACTGAGTACAGTTGAAGACACTGCACACCATGAGAGTAGTGTCAGCTTGTTAACGGCTGATAACATCCAGCCCGCAACACAGGAACTGAGTACAGTTGAAGACACTGCACACCATGAGAGTAGTGTCAGCTTGTTAACAGCTGATAACATCCAGCCCGCAACACAGGAACTGAGAACAGTTGAAGACACTGCACACCATGAGAGTAGTGTCAGCTTGTTAACGGTTGATAACATCAAGCCCGCAACACAGGAACTGAGTACAGTTGAAAACACTGCACACCATGAGAGTAGTGTCAGCTTGTTAACGGCTGATAACATCCAGCCTCCAACACAGGAACTGAGTACAGTTGAAGACACTGCACACCATGAGAGTAGTGTCAGCTTGTTAACAGCTGATAACATCCAGCCCGCAACACAGGAACTGAGTACAGTTGAAGACACTGCACACCATGAGAGTAGTGTCAGCTTGTTAACAGCTGATAACATCCAGCCCGCAACACAGGAACTGAGTACAGTTGAAGACACTGCACACCATGAGAGTAGTGTCAGCTTGTTAACAGCTGATAACATCCAGCCCGCAACACAGGAACTGAGTACAGTTGAAGACACTGCACACCATGAGAGTAGTGTCAGCTTGTTAACGGCTGATAACATCCAGCCCCCAACACAGGAACTGAGTACAGTTGAAGACACTGCACACCATGAGAGTAGTGTCAAGTTGATCAATGTATTTCTTCCCAACGACTAGGTTGGTCTTTAAGTATACATCTTTAATTTTAGCTCATCAGGTCTGAAATCCAGAGTTAGCTCCCTTTGAATTATCTGCCCACCAGAGCTTCATTGAGACCTGATAACCTTGACATTCTTCTGTTCCTGAAGGAAAACATGAAGTGAGAGTTTGTTTGTGAAACTTTGTTATTACAAACTGTGCAACTGAAGTTTAGTTTAACCATATATATATTTTGTGGTATCAGTGCATCTCCACTCATGTGGATACATACCTGTCAACTCTCATGTATTTACCCAGAAATGTACGCATAAAATGTGACTGTATGGCACTGTGGCACTGTGGCACTGTATTCGTTCTGTCTGTTCATCAACCTTAAACAATTCACTTTCATATTTTGTCTTGGAGGTTTAGTCCCTTCTGCCATGTAGGGTGCCTGGGTAGCTGAGAAATTAGCTCTCATAAGCTTATCATGACAGATAATTTAAATGTCTAGTTTAGCAATGTTACAACTGTGACAATAATTTATTATTGTGCAAAGGTTTTAAAGTGCTGTTATGTTTATTTCAGCAAACCTTGTAGGAATGATGACGAATGAACCATATTCATAGTTCGTTGATGGATCAAATGACACAGGCATGGAGAGAAGATGATTCCTTTGACAGTTCGAGTCTTCGATGTTAATTCAAGTAGAGTAGAATTTCATCTTTTTAACATGCCGCACAACCGGAGTCAGTTCTGCAACTGCTGCTACGATATTTGATAAAATCATATATTTCAAAAACTTATATGGCATGACATTCTGTGGCAAAATTGTGTTGTGTTTGGTGTCGACAACACCAGTGTCAATCTTGGAAACAAAAACAACATCAAGACAAGAGTTGTGCAACACGTCATGTTACTCTGTTTGATGTGCTTGCCATTTAGTGCACAATGTAGCCTGCAAAGCATCAGATGCTTTTCAACATGCTGTGAATTTCAACATTGAAGGTTTTGAGTTGATGTTTACTACTGGTTCCAATCCACAAAGCATAAGGCCTTCCTCACAGACTCCACACAGGTAGTCAAACATGTATGGCTCAGTCCGGAGAGAGCAGTGTCGCGAAATCTTCAACTCTATGAAGGAAGCAAACGCTACTGTACATCCACAGATGAGAGTAATGCAAGGTTCCACAGATGAGAGTAATGCAAGGTTCCACATATGAGAGTAATGCAAGGTTCCACAGATGAGAGTAATACAAGGTTCCACAGATGAGAGTAATGCAAGGTTCCACAGATGAGAGTAATGCAAGGTTCCACAGATGAGAGTAATACAAGGTTCCACAGATGATGAGAGTAATACAAGGTTCCACAGATGAGAGTAATGCAAGGTTCCACAGATGAGTAATGAGGTTCCACAGATGAGAGTAATGCAAGGTTCCACAGATGAGAGTAATGCAAGGTTCCACAGATGAGAGTAATGCAAGGTTCCACAGATGAGAGTAATGCAAGGTTCCACAGATGAGAGTAATACAAGGTTCCACAGATGAGAGTAATGCAAGGTTCCACAGATGAGAGTAATGCAAGGTTCCACAGATGAGAGTAATGCAAGGTTCCACAGATGAGAGTAATACAAGGTTCCACAGATGAGAGTAATGCAAGGTTCCACAGATGAGAGTAATGCAAGGTTCCACAGATGAGAGTAATGCAAGGTTCCACAGATGAGAGTAATGCAAGGTTCCACAGATGAGAGTAATGCAAGGTTCCACAGATGAGAGTAATGCAAGGTTCCAGCAGGCTTCGAAGTTTTAGAGATAGAGGAAGAGGCTGCTGATCGCAAGAATAATTCGGCAGTAAACATTTCCCGGAAAATGAAAACATACCATTTCATTGCTACTGCCTATATGTTGTCAGATGTAGTACCTCACTGAAATGTCTGAGAAACATGGACAACCCTGACTATACTCAATACAAATGAATTCTGCTTCAGATTCTTGAGTCTGAATACTGACTACAAAATAATAAATGGTTAAAACTAGTAATGTAGCACTGTGATAATGATAATATGGAGACCAACAAACGTTTCTAATGCAGACCATGCACTAATGTAAAAGAACTTCAAACTGTTTTCTTTTTTTCAAAGCTATGAAATCACTGTTGTAAGCATACTCTCCCAAACAATGTAGTGAGAATATACACTCCTATAACATTGTCAGCAGCTTCCCAGTTGATGGATTAGCACAGGACAAATGGACTAGTTTTAATATGATTATGATCATTCTTTAAACATCGGTGTTGTCAAATATCAAAACTATCATTTTAATAAAAATGAAAGTTCGCATAAATAAAATTGTAACAAATGCATAAAGATACGCTTCGAAAGTAACTTGCTTGAGAAGTTCACATTCGTTTGAGAACACTGAGGGCAAACTGTGACTCGATCAAACTATGGCATCAGCACCAAGAGGAAAATTGCACTTACCAGGTTTTTTTCTCATAAACATATTTGTTATGCCAAGTTTTGTTAGTGTTCTCAGATTATTTAAACTATATATAAACTGTCAAACACTAGACACAGATAGTCACATAGACAGTCACAGTGCCAACACAAGACAGACATGACATGACATGACATGACATGACATGCTGGCACCATCACACAAGACACTAACCTGACATCCATGATCTTCAATGCACATACATGCCTACTGGAAAGAAGTGAAGAAAACTGAAAAGTTTGGGAATTTTCCTAAAAAACTAAAGCTTTTTCAGTAGAATATTCAGGGTGGGAGTGTGTCATTTCTACAAGAGAAACCAGTGACAGTGTGACAATGTTGTACCTCCCCTGGTGCTATCTAGAGTAGGTCAGTGTTCTAGACATCTATGGCCATCCCATGCCCTTCATGAGCCTCAAGGTCCACATCAACATTCTCACTTGTTTCAGTGGCAGAAGCAACATTTGTGTTCACATCTGATTCAATGTCATCAACATGTTCAACTGTTTCACCACCAAAAGTTACAGGAATGTCTGTCACAGGAATGTCTGTCACAACAGTAGACAAATTCTCTAAGTCACAGTTTTTAGCACCAAACTTGTTTTTCTCAGCAAGGATGCAATTTTTACATTTGTCCAAGTCTGCAGTTTCTGCATCTCGCTCTGCCATGTGATTCAAGGTCAACTGCCAAGCAATGGCTGTTTTTTCACAACACGGCAAGTCACTGACAAAGTCAAACAATTGTTTCTCATCCAAACTATCTGTCTTTGGAGACACTTTCAATATAGACCCTTTGGACGACAACACCAAATCACATTCTGTTTCTGATTCACTGCAAAACAGAGACACAACACGTTCAGAACTGAATCTCTTCAATTTTGGTCCTTTCACAAATGTATGGCTTAACTCTGACAGAATTTCTGCCTCTGACGAAATAACTCTTGAATGTAATGCTGAATCCGCAGAGATAGACTGATCACCAAGACTAGATTCTTCCACCTGAGTTGTAGTATATGAAGACGCTGCCTGCGATGACGTCTCCTTGATATCACTGTCATACCCAGACAGGTCGACCTTGTCCTCATCATCAGGAAGGAGATGCAGCCCCGGGTCAGGACTCCCGACCTCAAGACGTCCTTCCAGCCCGCAGAGAGAAGCAGCCATGTCCTTCCCTCCCCGCGGTTTCTTTCGTGGTTTCTTTCGTGGTTTCCTATGTTTCTTCACCTTTTTCTGTAAAAATAAAATATTCATGAAGAAAAGAGTAGATATGTGTTGTGTTCAGTGTGTTGTGTATAGAATTATGGTATGTTGATACTGGCCAGGGTCAGAATCCTCATGCCTGATCCCAGGGCATGGCTGGACGGGTTGTGTTGTGGCCAGAACTGATCCCAGGGTGGATGGCCAGGACAGAATCCATGGACCCCAGTGGCACACGCAATAAAACACACGCATGGACATGCAGGGCCAGGGTGGTGGCCAGAATCATGGCACACAGGACCCAGGGTGGCATGGCTGGTGTGGATGGGTGTTGTGTTGGTGGTGTGGCCAGGTCAGGCCTAGAATCCATGTCAGATCCCAGGGCGGTGGCTGCATGCTGGCTGGCCGGGACGGGTGTCAGGGTGGCTGCACAGAATCATGGCTGTCGAGGATCCCAGGTCAGGCATGAATCATGGTCAGGACCTAGGGACAATCACCAGGACCAGGAGACGACATGGACATGTTAGGTTGTGAACTGAGGATCCCAGGGTGGACAGGAAGGACAGGAAGACCAGGAAGGAGACCAGGAAGAAGACTTGTGGTATGGAAAGAAATGAGGAAGACCAGGACACAGGAAAAGGAAGTGGTATGGGAAAAGGAAGGAAAGGAAGGAAGGTGGAATCCCTGTGGCATGGCATGGCACAGGATCCCCAGACCTGTGGCATGACCAGGACCCAGAATCCCAGGAAGGAAGAACATGGACCCATGGCCAAAATGGACCCCAGGAAATGGACATGGACCCAGGCACAGGACCTGAATGCAGGACCTGGGAAGGATCCCACAGGGACCCAGGAAGACCCAGGAAGAGGACCAGGACCCAGGACCCGGCACAGGACCCGTGGAAGGACCAGGCTGGTGGAGCTGAGCCCAGCCAGTGGACCGGACCCAGGAAAACGGAAAGGACCCAGGAATGGACACAGTGGACCAGGAAGAACGGAAGGACCCAGGAACCCCAGTGGACCTGACAAAGGAAATGGACCTGTGGAAAGGACCCAGGAAGGACCCAGGAGGGACCCAGGACCCAGGACAGGACCTGAAGAACGGGACGGCAGGATGGACCCGGACAAGGACCAGGATGGACCCAGATGGACCCCAGGAAGGACCCAGGACCCAGGACCCCAGGAAAACGGACGCAGGACCTGACTGGTGGACCCCAGGACCTGGAGGACCCACAGGAAATGGAACAGCCCAGCAGACCAAAATGACAACAAGGCCCAGGCCAAGAGGTCCATGGACAAGGCCCGAGACGGAGGAACCCACACATCCCAGACGCAATGACCGGACAGGACACATCCCACAGTGGCTGAACAACCCACAAAGAACACCACAGTCCACGGAAGAATGGAAGGAGTCCATTGAAGAATGGCATGAACACCATTGAAGAATGGAAGGACATCCATGAATGGAAGGAAAAGACAGGAATGGAAGGAAGGAAAATGGCCCATTGAAGGAAGGAATATCCATTGTAAAGAATGGACATCCATTAAAGGGACAGTGGCTGACACCATTAGGGACAGGAACACGACAGGGAAGGAAAGACACCATTGTGTGGATTGTGTTTTGTACCTACCTTAGGCAGAGGTCTGTTTGCATCATGGAGACTCAAATGTTGAAGCATCTTGTTCTGCAAGGCAAGGAAGACAGTCAGATCCCTACACCGATTCTTTCCCTACCTCTTCAAGATATATAGAACCAGCATATATTGTTTACTGTTATGAAACATTTGCTCCTGTGTTGCCCTCTTCCACTGGTCAGATATAACCCAGCTGTTTCAGAATGGCCACTGATTCATGGTCATCAACACACTGAACCCTACAATCTACACTGGCACGGTACAACAGTACACACTCATCTTTATCCCTTAAAAGTGATACTTAAGACATATTTTCAAGTCAAAGAGATGCTGACGACAAATTCTCTTGTCGAAGAGATACTGACGACCAATTTTCAAGTGAAAACTGGTTGACAACAAGTTCTCAAGTGAAAGAGAAACTGACAACCAATTCTCATGCCAAGAGGAAACTTCCTGTCTTCAACTATGATAATGACTCACGCGGTAGGAGAAGGTCCTGTCACAGCCCTGATGCTCACATGGAATGCGTTTCCCATCATGGTAGGATCTGACATGAGCCTGCAGGTTCTTCTTGCTGAGGTACATGCGCCCACAGTTATCCCTGCTGCACTCAAACACAGGTCTCTCTTCCATGTGGACTGGCAGGTGCTTCTTCAGATTAAACTTATTCAGGAACTTCTTCCCACACTCAGGGCAGTTTAGAGCTGAAAACAACATTCTCACTTTTTTCATCTATAACTCACTGAGATGGAGTGAGTGAGTGAGTGTAGTTTTACGTCGCACTCATCAATTTTCCAGCTATATGGCGGCGGTCTGTAAATAATCAAGTCTGGACTAGACAATCCAGTAATCAACAGCAGGAGCATCGATCTGCGCAATTGGGGACCGATGACATGTGTCAACCAAGTCAGCGAGCCTGACCACCCGATCCCGTTAGTCGCCTCTTACAACAAGCATGGGTAACTGAAGGCCAATATTCTAACTCGGAACTTCACGGGTCACTGAGAAGGAAACATCACTTACACTTAGTTCATCAATAACTAACAGACTTGGAAACATCACACATTTAATTCACCTAGAATTCTAGGTTATTGTGAGGGATGACTGTATATATACTTCAAAATACTTTGTTGTTGTCACATTTAGCTTGAAAACGATGTAAGAATCTACACAGAAACGATGTTCTATGTAATTAACAAGAAGTTGTTATCCATAAAGTCAGACACTTTATTGTGAAACACTTACAAGATAAGAGTTTAAAATCTGAGCAAATATCTGTTCATATCAAGAGGAAATTTCATCATAGCTATTATATCTAGCATCACTGTGTCCTTTCTCTGCCCCCACTATTGGTACAACGTTGAGACAAGGGAAGGGAAAACATCTTTGTATAAATGTACACAGCAGGTGCTTGAATACGCATGCAGGTGTTAACACAAGTGAAACACTCACCACTATGCTGCAGTGCCACATGTTTCCGCACGAGTGACCACGTCTCGAACTTCTCCTGGCATCCTGGCACTTGACACAGATACCCTGAAATATTACAACCACATCATCAGCACACATTACCCTGGAACTTTACAACAACCACACATCATCATCGACACACATTACCCTGGAACTTTACAACAACCACACACACATCATCGACACACATTACCCTGGAACTTTACAACAACCACATCATCATCGACACACATTACCCTGGAACTTTACAACAACCACACATCATCATCGACACACATTACCCTGGAACTTTACAACAACCACACATCATCATCGACACACATTACCCTGGAACTTTACAACAACCACACATCATCGACACACATTACCCTGGAACTTTACAACAACACACATCATCATCGACACACATTACCCTGGAACTTTACAACAACCACATCATCATCGACACACATTACCCTGGAACTTTACAACAACACACATCATCATCGACACACATTACCCTTGGAACTTTTACAACAACCACACATCATCATCGACACACATTACCCTGGAACTTTACAACAACCACACATCATCGACACACATTACCCTGGAACTTTACAACAACCACACATCATCATCGACACACATTACCTTGAACTTTACAACAACCACACATCATCATCGACACACATTACCTGAACTTTTACAACAACCACACATCATCATCGACACACATTACCCTGAACTTTACAACAACCACACATCATCATCGACACATTACTCCTGGAACTTTTACAACAATACACATCATCATCGACACATTACCCTGGAACTTTACAACAACCACACATCATCATCGACACACATTACCCTGGAACTTTACAACAACCACACACATCATCATCATCGACACACATTACCCTGGAACTTACAACAACCACACATCATCGACACACATTACTCCTGGAACTTTACAACAACCACACATCATCGATACACATTACCCTGGAACTTTACAACAACAACCACACATCATCATCGACACACATTACCCTGGAACTTTACAACAACACATCATCATCATCGACACACATTACCCTGGAACTTTACAACCACACACATCATCATCGACACATTACCCTGGAACTTTACAACAACAACACACATCATCATCGACACACATTACCCTGGAACTTTACAACAACCACACATCATCATCGACACACATTACCCTGGAACTTTACAACAACCACACATCATCATCGACACACATTACTCCTGGAACTTTACAACAACCACACATCATCATCGCACACACATTACCCTGGAACTTTACAACAACCACACATCATCCATCGACACACATTACCCTGGAACTTACAAGCAACATTACATCATCATCGACACACATTTTGGAACTTTACAACAACCACACATCACATCATCGACACATTTACCCTGGAACTTTACAACAACCACACATCATCGACACACATTACCTCTGAACTTTACAACAACCACACACATCATTCCACTGACACATTACATTACTCCTGGAACTTTACAACAACCACATCATCATCGGCACACATTACCCTGAACTTTTACAACCACACATCATCATCGACACACATTACCCTGGAACTTTACAACAACCACACATCATCATCATCATACACATTACCCTGAACTTTACAACAACCACATCGACACATCATCATAATACACATTACCCTGGAACTTTTACAACAACCACACATCATCATTTCCATAATACATACTCCTGGAACTTTTTACAAATAACCACCCATCATGGAACTTCTTTTTTTACAAACAACCACACATCATCATCGACACATTAACTTTCTGGAACTTTACAACAACTACACATCATCATCGAATACACATATTACCCTGGAACTTTACAACAACCACATCATCATCGACACACATTACCCTGGAACTTTACAACAACCACACATCATCGACACACATTACCCTGGAACTTTACAACAACCACACATCATCATCGCATACACATTAATTCTGAACTTTACAACAACCACATCATCATCGACACATTATCGCATAATACATTCTGGAACTTTTACAACAACCACACATCATCGACACACATTACCCTGAACTTTACAACAACCACATCATCATCGTATTAATATTACCCTGAACTTTACAACAACCCACATCATCATCGACACATTACCCTGGAACTTTACAACAACCACACATCATCATCGACACTACATTACCCTGGAACTTTACAACAACACACATCATCGACACACATTACCCTGAACTTTACAACAACCACATCATCGACACACATTAATTCTTGAACTTTACAACAACCACACATCATCGACACATTACCCTGAACTTTACAACAACCACACATCATCATCGACACATTACTCTGAACTTTATAACAACCACATCATCATCGACATACACACATTACCCTGAACTTTACAACAACCACATCATCATCGACACACATAACCCTGGAACTTTACAATAACAACCACATCATCATCGACACACATTAATTCTGAACTTTACAACAACCACATCATCATCGACACACATTACTCCTGAACTTTACAACAACCACACATCATCGACACATCCTGGAACTTTACATGTAATCACACATCACATCATCACACATTACCCTGGAACTTTACAACAACTACACATCATCATCGACACACATTACCTTGGAACTTTTTACAACAACCACACATCATCATCGATTACATATTATTACCTGGAACTTTTACATAACAACCACACACATCATCGACACACATTAATTCTGAACTTTTACAACAACACACATCATCATCGACACATTACTCCTGAACTTTTACAACAACCACACATCATCATCGACACATTACCCTGAACTTTTACAACAACCACACATCATCATCGACACACATTAATTCTGAACTTTACAACAACCACACATCATCGACACACATTACCCTGGAACTTTTACAACAAACACACATCATCAAATAAACACACATTACTTACTATGAACTTACAACAACCACATCATCATCGACACACATTACCCTGAACTTTTACAACAACCACACATCATCATCGACACATTATCACCCTGAACTTTTACAACAACCACCATCATCATCATATACATAATTCTGAACTTTACAACAACCACACATCATCGACACATATTACCTTGAACTTTACAACAACCACACATCATCATCACACATTAATTTGAACTTTACAACAACCACACATCATCATCGTTGCCACACATACCTCTTGAACTTTAGTAGTAACAACCACACATCATCATCATAATACACATTACTCCTGGAACTTTTACAACAACCACACATCATCATCACACACATTACCCTGAACTTTACTTACAACCATACATCATCATCGCACACATTACCCTCCTGAACTTTACAACAACCACACACATCATCGGACACACATTACCCTGGAACTTTTTACAACAACCACACATCATCGACACACACATCGACATTACATTCTGAACTGAACTTTACAACAACCACACATCATCATCATACACATTAATTTGAACTTTTACAACCACCACATCATCATCGACACATATTAATTCTGGAACTTTACAACAACCACACATCATCATCGCATACACATTACCCTTGAACTTTACACAATCCACACATCATCTGAACATTAATAACACACACATTCTTGGAACTTTACAACAACCACATCATCATCGCATTACATTACCCTGAACTTTACAACAACCACACATCATCATCGACACACATTATTCTGGAACTTTACAACAACCACACATCATCATCATACACACATTACCCTGGAACTTTACAACAACCACACATCATCATCTGAACACACATACCATACACATCATCGAACTTTACTGGAACAACCACATCATCATCATCACACATAATACACAATTCTTGAACTTTTACAACAACCAATGGCATCATCACATATCACATTACCCTTGAACTTTACAACAACCACACATCATCATCATTACACTTTTGAACTTTTACAACACCACATCATCATCGACACACATTACCTCCTGGAACTTTACAATGTCAACACACATCATTGACACATTACTCATTCTGAACTTTACAACAACCACACATCATCATCGCATACACATTAATCCTCCTGAACTTTACAACAACCACATCATCATCGACACACATTACCCTGGAACTTTACACACAACCACACATCATCACACATCACATCGACACACATAATTGGAACTTTACAACAACCACACATCATCATCACACATTACCCTGGAACTTTACAACAACCACATCATCATCATCACACACATTACACCCTGGAACTTTACAACAACCACACATCATCATCGACACACATTACCCTGGAACTTTACAACAAACACACACATCATCGACACACATTACCCTGGAACTTTACAACAACCACACATCATCGACACACACATTACTCCTGAACTTTTACAACAACCACCACATCATCATCGACACACACATTACCCTGGAACTTTTACAACAACACATCATCATCACACACATTACCCTGGAACTTTACAACAACCACACATCATCATCGACACACATTACCCTGGAACTTTACAACAACCACACATCATCATCGACACATTACCCTGGAACTTTACAACAACCACACATCATCATCGACACACATTACCCTGGAACTTTTACAACAACCACACATCATCATCGACACACATTACCCTGGAACTTTACAACAACAACACACATCATCATCGACACACATTACCCTGGAACTTTACAACAACCACACATCATCGACACACATTACCCTGGAACTTTTACAACAACCACACATCATCATCGACACACATTACCCTGGAACTTTACAACAACACACATCATCATCATCGACACACATTACCCTGGAACTTTACAACAACCACACATCATCATCGACACACATTACCCTGGAACTTTACAACAACCACACATCATCATCGCCACACATTACCCTGGAACTTTACAACAACCACACATCATCATCGACACACATTACCTGGAACTTTACAACAACCACATCATCATCGACACACATTACCTGGAACTTTACACAACAATCCACACATCATCATCGACACACATTACCCTGGAACTTTACAACAACCACACATCATCATCGACACACATTACTCCTGGAACTTTACAACAACCACACATCATCATCGACACATTACCCTGAACTTTACAACAACCACACATCATCATCGACACACATTACCCTGGAACTTTACAACAACCACACATCATCGACACACATTACCCTGGAACTTTACAACAACCACACATCATCATCGACACACATTACCCTGGAACTTTACAACAACCACACATCATCATCGACACACATTACCCTGGAACTTTACAACAACCACACATCATCGACACACATTACCCTGGAACTTTACAACAACCACATCATCATCGACACACATTACCCTGGAACTTTACAACAACCACACATCATCATCGACACACATTACCCTGGAACTTTACAACAACACACATCATCATCGACACACATTACCCTGGAACTTTACAACAACCACACATCATCGACATACACATTACCCTGGAACTTTACAACAACCACACATCATCATCGACACACATTACCCTGGAACTTTACAACAACCACACACATCATCGACACATTACCCTGGAACTTTACAACAACCACACATCATCATCGACACACATTACCCTGGAACTTTACAACAACCACACATCATCGACACACATTACCCTGGAACTTTACAACAACCACACATCATCGACACACATTACCCTGGAACTTTACAACAACCACACATCATCGACACACATTACCCTGGAACTTTACAACAACCACACATCATCATCGACACACATTACCCTGGAACTTTACAACAACCACACATCATCATCGACACACATTACCCTGGAACTTTACAACAACCACACATCATCATCGACACACATTACCCTGGAACTTTACAACAACCACACATCATCATCGACACACATTACCCTGGAACTTTACAACCACACATCATCATCGACACACATTACCCTGGAACTTTACAACAACCACACATCATCGACACACATTACCCTGGAATCATCACACACTTTACACATTACCTGGAACTTTACAACAACAACCACACATCATCATCGACACACATTACCCTGGAACTTTACAACAACCACACATCATCATCGACACACATTACCCTGGAACTTTACAACAACCACACATCATCATCGACACACATTACCCTGGAACTTTACAACAACCACACATCATCATCGACACACATTACCCTGGAACTTTACAACAACCACACATCATCGACACACATTACCCTGGAACTTTACAACAACCACACATCATCGACACACATTACCCTGGAACTTTACAACAACCACACATCATCGACACACATTACCCTGGAACTTTACAACAACCACACATCATCATCGACACACATTACCCTGGAACTTTACAACAACCACACATCATCATCGACACACATTACCCTGGAACTTTACAACCACACATCATCATCGACACACATTACCCTGGAACTTTACAACAACCACACATCATCATCGACACACATTACCCTGGAACTTTACAACAACCACACATCATCATCGACACACATTACCCTGGAACTTTACAACAACCACACATCATCATCGACACACATTACCCTGGAACTTTACAACAACCACACACATCATCGACATACACATACATTACCCTGGAACTTTACAACAACCACACATCATCATCGACACACATTACCCTGGAACTTTACAACAAACCACATCATCATCGACACACATTACCCTGGAACTTTACAACAACCACACATCATCATCGACACACATTACCCTGGAACTTTACAACAACCACATCATCATCGACACACATTACCCTGGAACTTTACAACAACACACAACCACACATCATCATCGACACACATTACCTGGAACTTTACAACAACCACACATCATCATCGACACACATTACCCTGGAACTTTACAACAACCACACATCATCATCGACACACATTACCCTGGAACTTTACAACAACCACACATCATCATCGACACACATTACCCTGGAACTTTACAACAACCACACATCATCATCGACACACATTACCCTGGAACTTTACAACAACCACACATCATCATCGACACACATTACCCTGGAACTTTACAACAACACACATCATCATCGACACACATTACCCTGGAACTTTACAACAACCACACATCATCATCGACACACATTACCCTGGAACTTTACAACAACCACCACATCATCATCGACACACATTACCCTGGAACTTTACAACAACCACACATCATCATCGACACACATTACCCTGGAACTTAAACAAACCAATAGTTAAAAAGGAGGCAATACATAACCCGGGCCCAAAAATGGCAACAGTCACACTTTTCACAAAGACATCTGGCAACAATGAGAAAAGATGAGTGTATGTTGTGGAAGCACACTGAATAGTTATATATGAATCTCAGTTCAGAATTATCCCAGACTGTTGCTCCTCAACAATAACTGATACACAATTGGAAGCACACAATTCCAGGACCCATCTATACATTCACACCTGCTTACCACACCATTATTCAACACTGTCTCAGTTTGCTGACAAACAGACACCTACCATCATGCATCTTTTGATGCCTCTTCAGATTGGCCTCACAGCTAAAAACCTTTCCACAATTCTCCTTTGGGCACCTGTGAACATGAGGTTATTTAAACATCTTTGGCTTTCTTACACAACTGTGATGCTACTGAACTAATAAGCTAATAAGCTAATACACGGGCTACCAAAGAATCTGCCAGTAAAACGGCCGAAAAAAATAACAAGTTCTTAAACTGTGAGGCAAGAGCAGGCTAAGAACTTAGTCATGATGCTGTGTGGAGATCACAAGTGTAAAGGGAACCAATCTATCCGCGGGCCATTGTCATACCTATAACGGCTCAGAAGGGATGGAGGTAGGTGACTGTCGTTCTATCTACATCAAGGTGATCAGCAAAAAAAGAGATGTGGACTGGCAAACCTGTCACTAAGGCATCAGTAATACAAGTTCAAATTCAAATACGAATTATATGAAAGGACAAAGGTCAAACTAGATGAAATTCATGCTACAGTGAAAGATGAATTCTGGGATGAAAGCACGCTAAAGAAGTTCACAGTTCAGTTGGACTAAATCACTTCTGGGGGAAATTGGTGCCTGTTCTAATTTGAATCACACTGAGGTTAAAAACTGACAGGAACATCTTCCTCCAACAGAAGCTGCTGATCATAATGCATCCACGACAGTAACATCTGCTGTTGAGTTGAGTTGAGTTGAGTTGAGTTGAGTTGAGGTGGTGAGGTGAGGGAGTGAGTGAGTGAGTGAGGTTTACCACTATTCCAGCAATATCACGCTTCAAACACTGTTTCCCTGTGGCCAAATAGAACATGAATGAAGATAAACCTCCCACCTGTACGAGTTCTCAAGCAGGTGCTCCCGATGATGGCGCCGCAGGTGCTTGTGAGACTTACAGACCTTCCCACACCCCTCCTCTGGGCACTGAAACACAGTTACTCATTATCAACTCCATCTATTGCTGTAGGCAGTCACTGTAACCCGGGTCTTCGGAGCCAACGCTTTAACCACTAGGCTACCCCACCGCACTCACAAGCCTTGACATTCAAGTGACCTGAGCAGTAAATTGGTAAGAATAATATTAGAGGTTAAATATTAATAAATATAATTTCCTGAAAATGAATCAATATCAAATGCATTTTTATAACCTCTAAAATTATTCTTACCAATTTACTGTTCCGTACATCATCAAAAATAGAAGGAATATTGCAAAGTTCATATTTCGCGACCATTAGCAAACAGAAAAATCTTACAGTATATTTTATTTTCCACCAATCGGATGGCCTGAGTCAGTTTGTGCGGATCTGCTCAGGTCACTTGAATGTCAAGGTCATCTATGGCCAGCAAGTGAGTATGATTGCCGATGATTTTGGAGAAAATGCCAGCTAACTGTCGAGGAAGTGATATATAGATGTTGCAAAAAGTTTTTAGACCCATGGAATACCGCTGCCCAATTAATTTAGTTCTACATAGGTGCTGTCAACGTGCCAGGAATTAATAAACGAATTTAAAAGGTGAGTTTTCGCTGTCTTGGCTGATCCATGATTTTGGTGTGGAATTGCGGAGGTAGCTGTTTTCGGTGAGTCGTTGCGTTCAGGGTTTTACACAGACTTTTAAAAATGGGAGTCATGGTGACACAATATATATATTTGGGAGTCATTTTCAATATTTGGGAGTCATGAAATTTTTAATATTTCTTTGTGTTAATCATTCTCAGTATGTAACTGTGTATGTCACACCACCAAATGAAACTACAGCATTGTTCAATTCAAACAGCCAGGATTACTGTCTCCTCTGAGTTCTCTGGAACAATCTGACAGCTCTGTAAAAGTCAAACTATCATCAAATCGATTTTATTGAACTGAATTGTGAGGGCCACCCATAAAACTTGCGTCAAGCTTGACTCGTATGATAATATTTTGAGAGTCGCTTACAAAATTGTTGCGTCAAATACGCAGGAATTACGCGTCATGTAAAACCCTGGGCGTTTCACTTTTGAAATAATGATCCGAATGTGACCATTTATAGCCCTTTTTGTAGGGAAATCATCTAGCTTTCGATCCGTAGGCCTCGGAGGGGCCTTAAAAATATTTTGCATGGTGAAATTTAATTTTGATTTGAGGAGGGATTGGTTTCGTTGTTACATCCCTTTCCCTTTATATAGTACTAAGGTAGGGTCTATATACCTATATATCTTTCTAACGCTGTTTTAAGCGCAACACGCCCCTGTGGCTACAGAAACCCTCTTCATGTTACTTCATGTTACTTCATGTTACAAATGATGGAACTAAGAGTCAGGTTTTACTGCTTCGCTACAATTTCCAACAGGCCCCCAAAGTCGAAGTCCATTGGTCCTCAGCCCTAGCTAGGGAGTTCTTCGAAACTGTCAATCAATGAAAGGCGGAGCAGCTCAGCAAACACTCCGTTTCATGTTCAGCACCCATCCCATCAATGACAGCACATATCCCTCCATCAGCCTTGTTGTCATCAACAGTCAGTGGGCGAGGGAGACGAACACTTCATAATCTCCCACAAGGATTCGGAATACACACTCCACTAGAATTTAGCAAGTACCGTTTTTCTTCTAATAAGCGACTGGGTGCTTATTTTTTTTTCACAGACTTCCAGATCCGGTGCTTATTACAGACCCGGAGTTTGTTGAAGCCCCAGCACTTATTGCGCTTACTGGTTATTGGTGCTTAATTGTTAGTGAGTGTTACATCAAAGTTAGGGACCATACCTTAATAAACATATTTTTTATCAAGGGTGAATGCATTAATATAAAACGTACCCAGTGCTTATTAGAGACCCATCGCTTATTAGAGACCTGACATTTATTAGAGTCCCGGGGCTTACTAGAACCCCAGTGCTTATTTCTTAAATTGCTGCTTTACCTCCAGCACTAATTAGAGGAAATACGGTACGTGTGATCACCTTGGTGTGGATGTACAAGGACAACAGTGGAATAGTGAACAATCGCTGTAGCCATAACCAAGTGAAGCTTCTACAAGAAGCGAGGATGTTTGATAGTGCAATAGTGAACAATCGCTGTAGCCATAACCAAGTTAAAGCTTCTACAAGAAGCGAGGATATTTGATAGTGCAATAGTGAACAATCGCTGTAGCCATAACCAAGTTAAAGCTTCTACAAGAAGCGAGGATGTTTGATAGTGCAATAGTGAACAATCGCTGTAGCCATAACCAAGTTAAAGCTTCTACAAGAAGCGAGGATATTTGATGATTGTCCATGCACCTTCAAAGGTCTTCCAGTGAGTGGGAGAGGTGAGCCGACATGATCGCCTCCATGAATCTCTACCTGTATACTTTGGCTATCACAGATCTCTAAAGATATAAACGTGATCTAAATGCTAAATGGTAAGATGTAATGTCTGTGGAGACCAATGCAGATGGTCGGAGTGAGTTCAGATCAGCACATTTAGGAGATAAACGTACTGTGTTTGGAAATTAGATGAATGTTAGACCGAATTGATAGTCTCTAAATTTCATTTGAAGCCAATAACCCCCCCCCCACAAAACGCGTCGCGGGGGATAAAAATACAGCAATATGCAATACAAAAATCATTATTCACAACTGCAATAATTCTGCAAAAAGTAATCATCACAAATGATTTAACGCACTACAAACATTGAGACACAAGCACTGCATGGATATGTAAGTCAGGGAAGGTACATACCACATATCTGCTGGGCGACTCATGCTTCCTCTTCACGTGCCTGGCAAGGTTCCACTGGTTGGAGAATTTGCTGTCACAATCTTTAACTTGACACCTGCAATATTGTCACATTCATTGAAGCATCTGCTCTCTCTGGATCTCTATTCCAACACTGCATATGGTATCAGTCTACACTCAACAGCTGACCCACCCAGGGTGTCAACATTTATCACTGGCATATTGATGCCATGGATCCATGAACAAATAACCAAGGGTTTATCAGATGCAAACTTAAGAATGACTCAACTGGACTAAATAACTGAAGCATCCACATAAGATTCATCCCACATTTCTGTAATAATTCAAACCATGGCGGTGACCTAGTTTTTTAGGCATGTCACAAGAACTTTGCCTCTGTGTACATATTAACTTTTGGAAGTACATGTCACACTTTCTTCACTCATTAACTAAGTTTATATTCTGAAATGGTAATCCACATTTATCAACAGCACAAGGCCCCACACATAGTTTGTATTTAACATACTGGGATCCCCATTGTAAAGATTATATGTCCTAGGTCCTAACCTTCCGTCCATTACCAATCAGTGCTTATTGCCTGTCCTCACTAACTCCTGGCTTCCATTTGTTCACTGCTATTACCATTCCGCATACACTTAGAGAAATAGACTTGTGATATAAGAAGGTGAAATTCTTCCCCAATGTGCATCACTTCCAAACGTCATTGAAAGACTTGAAGAGCGTCACTGTTGTCACTGTATTGTGAAGATGAGGCTCTGACCACAGTTTCCACAGGGATGTCCACAGTCAGTCTTGTTGGAGTTGCTGCCCGTCATGTCCAGCACAACGAACTGTCAGCTTGAAAACATGGAAGTGGAACTGCTGGGAAGCAGACAGCCCGGACCCAGCAGGGCCAGTTGGCACTGGCAGGCTTCACAATTATTCAGCCCAAAATGTCTGTAACATTTCCAAAATATATCTATAATTTCCCAAATAATGCCCCAGATAGCATTCAGACGTTGACCCAACGTTGGCAATGGTTTTGCCAACATTGCAAACGTTATTTAACGTCGAATGCTATCTGGGGCTATGTTAGTTCTACATTAGATCCCAGTTTTGTAGAGGTGACTTGTACCGTCCTGGATTTAGGAGAAGTAATGGAGCCACTGCATAGCTGAAAATACTGCTAGAGAATACCTCAGACAATATTTCCTAGTATTTCCTCTTTCTAATTTTCCTGCCAAGTGCACTCACTGTCTCAGTTAAGAGTCACAGACAAGTCCGTTTACTGAACAGTTCTAACAGCAGTGCCCACCTGACTTGCTGGTTGGTGTCCGTGGCCTGATCTCTATGTGTGAAGTCAACATGTCTCTTGAGATGGGCCGCTCTGCTGTAACTTTTAACACAACTTTCATGGCTGCAGACAAATGGTCTCTGAAAACAAAAAATTAAATCTCTTTCCTTTATCCAGAAATACAACTGCAAAGTTATTTCATAAACAAAAACGAATACTGAAATTTACTAGTTTTACGGACTGTGAAATTTGTTAGACAAGAACCTGTATATGTTATGGTGTTGGTCCTGCATCACGTCTTGGAGTGAGTGAGTGAGTGAGTATAGTTACTTCTCTGAAAATAAGTAATGCACTTCTCTCAATAATACTATCAGCCCTACTGTAAACTCCAGTCAGCCCTAACAGACAATGGATTTTACCATATTTACAGGAAGCACAATACTGTTTCCCATATGAAACTATACAGTCCTGTGACGTAACTTGTACACACAATGTCAACTGGATATGTTTGCAAAATGTTTGACATGTGTTTGATAGGAAATTCCTCAAATGTAACAATCAAATTTGCAAAACATCAGTAGGACACATGAGACAGATGTGGAAGACTAGTTTAGTCCAGCGGACTAATTTATTGTTTGACCTGTGCAATGCCAATGGTGAGGCTGTTCGAAACAGTTATTGTTTTACAACTGACATTTCTATTCTGGTATCAATGTTTAGAGTATTAACAGTTCAGACAGGTCCATAATCCTAATCTGCAAAAGGCTGAAGGCTTGATATGCTTCATATGACAGTTGTAAAAATCTAAGAAATCAAGTGAAGCATGTAGCATATTGCTTGTCTTTGACTTGAAACTAGACACTGGAATTTGACATGTAAACAACAATCAAGTGAAGCATGTAGCATATTGCTTGTCTTTGACTTGAAACTAGACACTGGAATTTGACATGTAAACAACAATCAAGTGAAGCATGTAGCATATTGCTTGTCTTTGACTTGAAACTAGACACTGGAATTTGACATGTAAACAACAATCAAGTGAAGCATGTAGCATATTGCTTGTCTTTGACTTGAAACTAGACACTGGAATTTGACATGTCAACAACAGTCAAGTGAAGCATGTATCAAGTACAACACACCTGAAACGGTCAAGACATATCAGTCAGCCAATCAATAACAGACTCAAGGCCAGCCAAACAAGTCACTGATAACATGAGCGCTGTCTTGCAAATTTGGGTCAGATTACAAGCAATGAATGTAGTCACATTCTATGACAACCAATAGCCATGCTGTACTCATTTGCTCATCAACATGTTTCAAAGAGTTAGCAATTCTGATACGACAGTGACATCAGTGATCATAGGGTGATACTATACTGAGTCAGCAACCAATCCAAAGCCAGTGTCTTGCTTAGTTAAATATGGTGAAAATTCACAAGTTCATCACTAAATATCATCCAATAGTCAGGAAGAGCGCACTTTACCACGCTCACTTTTTCAGATTAATTAACAGTGCAGGGGCCCGAATGCTCCTTGCCGGATTACTGACTTCATTAATCAGTGACGTAATTAGCGCTATCACAGTTTATGAGTTCTCATTTTAACAGGTCATTAGCACAGCAGTCATGTGCATGTGCACACCTTTCCCATTCTATGGTTTTTTTTCGTGCCATTGTTTCTGGGACTGCACTGACAAGTTCCGAATGGGGCGAAATGTGTTTCAATTAGATATATTCAGATTACAATGCCCTAAGGCAAGGTCTAACCCTGAACCCTATGGGTCGGAAAGGGTTATTTGCCTCTACAGACATGTCAGCTCCCATGTCAGGATCGGGTCCCCAACCCTAAGGATCGGATAGCGAATCTAGCCGTAAAACTAAAGATCGTAAAGGGTACCTCACCCTTACCCTAATGATCGGGGAAAGAGTGCCATACCCTAACCCCTAAGGATCGGAAAGGGTTGTTTGCCTCTGAAGAAGTGCATTTATTTGTAAGAAAGCACTGGAGCGTGAGGCGAGCAACGATATAGCGAGACAGCGGGCGCGCTATTTAGTGCGAGTTTGCTCCGCGGAGGGCAGTCATCGCTGGCTGGTGCTGCACCCGGTAAACTGCATTCTAGCACAACAGTCCCCAAACCCACAAGCTGTGTTGACATACATAGGATACAAAACGTACAGTATTGAGATTTAGTATTGCTTGGCCCACACAATTCTAACTAGATCTACATGATACTGGATCCGGATGCAGCTTGAATAAGAATGTCATTTAATAGGACAGATATAACTAATTACCTCTCCGGTATGAGAACGTAAATGTATCAGCAATCTGCTCTTTTTATGGAAGGATTTCCCACATGTTTCGTGGGAACAAACAAACAAGTTGCCTCCACGTGGGCTTGCGTCCGCCATTTGCTTCGGCTATACTTCAATAATAACAACTCAATGTGTTTGTGAGCCAGGACATAGTAACTGAAATTACCTGTTCAGTTTTGTCTCATTCGGATCCTAGAACTTTGATTGTATGATTGTAGCTTACATAGAGTAAATACACTAAAAGAAATCGGTGAAAAGTACTGGAATGTCCGACACACCAAAGTTCAAACGCACGCCTTGACTCCATTGATAAACACGATGTTTTGGTCTAGTAAGGTTCCTTTTAGAGTTGACCCGACGAAGAACCATGCCACAAGATCTGACGTTGATCACTGTAACTCTCTATCTTCCACATCTAATAGTTCTTCCGAGACACTGAAGATTTACCGACTGCATGTATACATGCTGTGTCACTATGGTCATGCATGAAACGCTTGTATGAAACATGTACTTACTGCAGAGTGAATATAACAGCAAATTTGACACAGCCGAATTTCTTTGAGTGAGTGAGTGAATGAGTGAGTGAGTGAGTGTGGGTTTACGTCGCTTCTGCGCGTTGACAGAACTATCACGCCAAAGGACACCAGAAATAGTGCTTCACACATTGTGCTCATGTAGTGAATCAAACTCAGTCTTTTGGGATGACGAATGAATGATTTAAGCACTAGCTAGGCTACTCCAACCGCCCGGCTTCTCCAATGGCTGGGAAACAGCAACCCTTAGACAGTAGAGGACATGGTGAGTGTCAGAACGGTCTGTTCACCGCTACATTTTAAAATTTACAAACATGAAGTAGGCTAGACAGGCGACACCCCAGTTCATTAAGGTACTGTAGTATCTGTCAACCAGTCTAGTCATTAAGGTACTGTAGTATCTGTCAACCAGTCTAGTCATTAAGGTACTATAGTATCTGTCAACCAGTCTAGTCATTAAGGTACTATAGTATCTGTCAACCAGTCTAGTCATTAAGGTACTATAGTATCTGTCAACCAGTCTAGTCATTGCTATAGTATCATGTAGTACTATAGTATCTGTCAACCAGTCTAATCATTAAGGTACTATAGTATCTGTCAACCAGTCTAGTCATTAAGGTACTATAGTATCTGTCAACCAGTCTAGTCATTAAGGTACTATAGTATCTGTCAACCAGTCTAGTCATTAAGGTACTATAGTATCTGTCAACCAGTCTAGTCATTAAGGTACTATAGTATCTGTCAACCAGTCTAGTCATTAAGGTACAGTCTAGTCATTAAGGTACTATAGTATCTGTCAACCAGTCTAGTCATTAAGGTACTATAGTATCTGTCAACCAGTCTAGTCATTAAGGGCTATAGTATCTGTCAACCAGTCTAGAAGGTACTATAGTATCTGTCAACCAGTCTAGTCATTAAGGACTATAGTATCTGTCAACCAGTCTAGTCATTAAGATTACTATAGTATCTGTCAACCAGTCTAGTCATTAAGGTACTATAGTATCTGTCAACCAGTCTAGTCATTAAGGTCTAGTATCTGTCAACCAGTCTAGTCATTAAGGTACTATAGTATCTGTCAACCAGTCTAGTCATTAAGGTACTATAGTATCTGTCAACCAGTCTAGTCATTAAGGTACTATAGTATCTGTCAACCAGTCTAGTCATTAAGGTACTATAGTATCTGTCAACCAGTCTAGTCATTAAGGTACTACAGTATCTGTCAACCAGTCTAGTCATTAAGGTACTATGGTATCTGTCATTAAGGTACTATAGTATCTGTCAACCAGTCTAGTCATTATCTGTCAACCAGTCTAGTCATTAGTCACTATGTAGTGACTATACAGTCAACCAGTGTCATTGTCATGAGTGACTATACAGTGAGTGCATGATATCGCCTAGTTGACTCTCATGGTACCTGGCCTGGGTAGCCTGACCGTGTTGATTCTGTGTCATGGATCTTTGTTTATTGTGTACCTTGGTATCTGGCCTGATTATTGGTCATGGAATGTGGCCTTTGTTCTGATCTGAGAACAAGCTGCTTTACACAGTTTTCACAGTTACAAGAACATTGTCAATAAAGTTACTTGTCGATGTGCAAATTGACACATTCAGTTAACCATCTGAATCAACGTTTATCGAACCCTGACTCTTAGCCTTCTCAGCTCGACACCCCTCTGGTAGTCCCACCAAGGTCACACAACAGCTACATATCCATAGCAACACATCCACAGCTACAGCAACATATCCACAACTACAGCAACATATCGATGGGTTAGTTATACAACAGTTGTATACACTAGGTCAGCAGATCGCGACAGTCACCTGTTATCTATTGATCTTTAGACGCCCTAGTTTTACGTTCCAGTGATTAGGTGATGGGACGCCATACAGTAATTAGTGCCCAACTGGGCCTATGCACCTCAACTCGGCCATCTTTGCACAGGTATATCGATGATCATATAAGGTTAAAAAACAATCAAATAGCCAATATTTTCCCACTGATTTAACCCCCTAATTTTGAAATAAGCGAGGTGTAAGACGCCCCCATATTGAGATCTACCCATTGACACCTATACTTGTGCCGTGTGGTCACTGTCTAGGTCTGTCCTCTGAGACTGGACACGACTTCATAGGCGGATCCAGAAAGGGGGTGCAAGGGTACGCACCCTTCCTTTTGTCCTGAAAGTTTATTAAATGACCTTTGAAACTCTCGTGAAAATGAAGTGTGCACCCCCACTTTCTCAAGAGTGTGCACCCCCTCTTTCTCAAAAAGCTGTATCCGCCCCTGGACTTCTGTTTGGCGAACACCTGGTATCACCACTGTTAGTGATTCATAGCATGCCCCTGACATAGTCATACTGTGAGCACATACTTCTTATGAACTAACGGGATCGGGTGGTCAGGCTCGCTGGCTTGGTTGACACATGTAATCGGTTCCCAATTGCGCAGATCGATGTTCATGCTGTTGATCACTGGATTGTCTGGTCCAGACTCTATTATTTACAGACCGCCACCATATAGCTGGAATATTGCTGAGTGCAGCGTAAAATTATACTCACTAACTCAATCAATCAATCAAACAATCAATCGATCACACACGCTGCAGCGTTTTCAGACATTCTACAGATCATGTGACCTGCTTGCTATCTGACAACACGAGTGACATGTGACGCTACTGATGGCACACTCTGGGTGATAACAGCTATTATCACCACATGACATAAACATTATTAGTCGCGCCCCGTGGGATGTAGGGAAGCATTCTTTGTCAAAAGGTAGGAATATTCGATGTCATGATGTTATTTAACAGTACCATACCACTTGTGTTTGTTTTACACGCTACTTTTGGTGTTGCTACGTCACATGGTAGGTGTTACCAGGGACAATGTCCAAAACAACATAACCATCTGTAAACACCACTACATATAATGGTTGTCGAAGAGCTTCATACAAGTGGCGAATAAAGCAACATATTTGGCTCCTATGTTAACAAAAGAATTCTGAAAAAATGCATCAGTACGATCAAGCTAAATAAACCTCATACAATGCCAGCTGCGTGTACCACCAAAACCCTGTCTCATAGATCAACTGTACACAGTCCTCGTCGTTATCCATATTCACAGAAAGTGTTGGACACAAGTAGAACTATCACGATGAGTATTCTCCCAAACTCACAGGAGTTGCTTCAGTGTTATCACTGTCAGAAGAGAAACAAGCTGAACTACATCAAAACATTTGACTTTTCAGTTTTGTCAGAAAGAAATCCAATTTCTCACAAACAGCAATATGTGAAATGCTAATCACAAATAACACCTATGTGGAATATATAGAGAATCTCACCCAAGTGTCTTCTGATATCAATTATATCGACCCGAGTTGATAAAGTTACAAATGTCCGAGGCTTGCCGAGGATATTTTTAACTTTATCAACGAGTGTTGATATATTTGATATCAGAAGACACGAGGGTGAGATTCTATTTATCATCCAAAATCACTCTTCATTAATTTTCAATGAAAAATGTACATCTCTGAACATGGTACTGCCATTAGACTTGCAGTGCAGCGATGTCATAGCATTGTGACGTCATCAAGTACATGATGTCATAGCATTGTCAGGGCATTGTACAAAATCTACTGTCAAAACGATATCTCCTAGGAGATATTGTTTGATCTCACACAAGCCATATCTCCTGTGGAACACAGTTTTGGATGATAAAGACAAGAAGTAGGCATCCCTACGGGCACTCATTGTGTCCCCCATCTTGCGAATCTGCATGCGTATAGGAATCTGCTCGGACTGACTAAAGAGACTCTAACCACGAAGCTGAACCTAGGCTTCAGGTATACTGATGATCTGATATTGTTCACAATAATGGTCAGATGGCCAGTTCCCTTCCACTGGTCTACCACCTGAACTAGATACACAGGGGTCCAGTCAGACCTTATCTAACATTTCCTATTTAAATCTATGTATAAAGATCCAGTGACAGCAGACTATTCACAAGACTCTTGTCTTTGCAAAAGCCAACAATTAACCCATTATGTCTAGTATTATTTCCGAAGGTGTTAAAGTGCCTCATACGACTCCTGCTTAAAAGTTCTTTGATCAGATCTACAGAAGCCTATCTGTAACATTCCATGTTAGACACGTCGAGGACAATTCCAAAATCGACGTATCAACGACCAAACTGTGTCCGAATGAATTCGTTTTCGACTTGCACCAATTGTCCCATGTTGTTTCTAAATGTACAACTGTACACATAAACCACACAGACACACACATGCACACACATACGTTCGCATGCACGCACACACTCACTCGCGTTGAGGAGTAATTGACATACGGATCTTTCTTCCTCACGATTCAATGTTGCTGGTCACATACGCTGTGAATTTAATTGATTGTGATAATATCAACAACCCAACAGCTACCCGGAACAATATCTATATGAGTGATTAGTATTTGATTAGTAGAAGTGTGGCATTCTGAAAAGATCGGGTTTTCCTGGCAAAATATAAGGGGAAGTGTGTAAAGTCTGACACAAGTTTCGTGACACTAAATATGTACTTCATGATCATCCAATTTCCTCCTGGCACCAACACCCGCCTCGGACAACGTGGTGGCTACTGTTGGGGAACCCAGTGGTTTGTGTGAGAAACCTTGATTAACGCCATCTTTCCCTCCCGACAATAACATTCAGGTATTCGACAAATGGAACTGTTTCTCCGATAGGTGATGTGTATGCGCCATCTTTCTACACAGTGATGAAAGAATGTTATTTATATCATAAGGCAGGTATCAGTCTGCTAGGTGACAGGAACAGGGAACTCTGTTTATAATAGTTTCGAATCGAAACAGTTTTTATGATAATTGTAAATCTCCGTTTAATGTGCTACTTTATTGTACATTTGATAAAGACGTACAGTCAGCCCGTTGTAGGTGTGTGTTGTCAACATGGTTGACGTGTGAACATATCTTGGCTGCCATCAAGTCTCGGGATAAAGACGTACAGTCAGCCCGTTGTAGGTGTGTGTTGTCAACATGGTTGATGTGTGAACATATCTTGGCTGCCATCAAGTCTCTGGATAAAGACGTACAGTCAGCCCGTTGTAGGGAACATGGTTGATGTGTGAACATATCTTGGCTGCCATCAAGTCTCGGGATAAAGACGTACAGTTGTCAACAGGTGTGTTGTCAACATGGTTGACGTGTGAACATATCTTGGCTGCCATCAAGTCTCGGGATAAAGACGTACAGTCAGCCCGTTGTAGGTGTGTGTTGTCAACATGGTTGACGTGTGAACATATCTTGGCTGCCATCAAGTCTCGGGATAAAGACGTACAGTCAGCCCGTTGTAGGTGTGTGTTGTCAACATGGTTGTGTGAACATATCTTGGCTGCCATCAAGTCTCGGGATAAAGACGTACAGTCAGCCCGTTGTAGGTGTGTGTTGTCAACATGGTTGATGTGTGAACATATCTTGGCTGCCATCAAGTCTCGGGATAAAGACGTACAGTCAGCCCGTTGTAGGTGTGTGTTGTCAACATGGTTGATGTGTGAACATATCTTGGCTGCCATCAAGTCTCGGGATAAAGACGTACAGTCAGCCCGTTGTAGGTGTGTGGTTGCCATCAAGAATCCGGCTGCATTACATGTCCACTCGACTTGAACAACTCACTGCTTTCCCAATATCCTTTATCAAGTCGTATGGAGACTTCCGTATCGGATATTCTATTACTGAAAAGAGAATCGCGAGCTGTTCTTCCATGAAGTATACATGTATATTTGTTATAATGAACTTCAAACTAAAGCCCTGTTTATACGGCAACATTTGAACACGTGTGTATTTTTTGCATATATGTAAATTTGCTTACACGAGTATATTTGGTCGTATAAACGCAATTACACATATGCAAATTTTACTACCCCAAGCAAACATACGCCTGGCCTAGACCAGGTGCAAATGTTTTACTACCGATGGATAAATGCTTATTTTTGCTACCCTAAGCAATTGTGGTCGTATGAACGCAGGGTGAGCATTTTACTCAGGGTGAGTTATTTTTTCCCGCTCGATTTCATAATGGCTATTTTGGTGGTTTCCCGCCTAAACTTTATGCGCCTTATTGGTCAGATATCTATCAGTTGATGTCTAACTTCCATTAAGAACAGACACACGACAATAGCGAACCGGAAAGAAACTCGTGGTGCCAAAAGATGCGGTTCCGCTTGGAATGACGAGGAAACAAACTGCCTATTGGCAATATGGGAAGACAACAGTATAGAGGAATTACTGGAAAACCCCACAGCAGCAATGTTTCAGTTTACAATACTGTCGCCTAAAGAGGACACACAGAGAGGGTAAATCTAACCTGAAGAAAAGTGGAAAGGAAAGGAAAATTTGTAAGTTTTTTGAAGAACTGGACGCATTCTAGGTACCAGACCAGCCTCGTCGCCTCTGAAGGTTATAGATACATTGACCAAGAAAGTCGAAGATGAAGGAGGGGATCCTTGTGAACCTGCTGATACAGCACAGGCGAACACACAGGCTGTTGATGACAGTTGTGCTGACATGACACCTTGTTGATAATAGAACTGAAAGGGATGAAAAGGATGCATCTGACACGGAAAGCAGAAAGAACTGGAGGGGAAAATGAAAAAGTGAAGAGCGAGAAGAAAAGAGCTCAGAAGACAAGGATGGAAGTAGCACTAAAATCTGTGATGGATGGATTTAGTGCAGCAAACAAGAGAGCTGATGATAAGGTTCTTGACCTTGAACGCCAGAAAATAGAACTTGAACGCCAAAAACTTGATGTTGAGAAAGTCAAGATGAAATCAGATGAAAGACAGAAGCGTGAAGAGCGACAGCACCAATTCAACATGATGAATATGATTATGAGAGCTGTACGGGGGACAGGACAGCAGCCCCCACCTGCCCCATACAGCACGGGTCGTACAGCACAGTATGATTATGAGAGCTGTACGGGGGACAGGACAGCAGCCCCCACCTGTCCCATACAGCACGGGTCGTACAGCACAGTATGGTTATGAGAGCTGTACGGGGGACAGGACAGCAGCCCCCTCCTGTCCCATACAGCACGGGTCGTACAGCACAGTATGGTTATGAGAGTTGTACGGGGGACAGGACAGCAGCCCCCTCCTGTCCCATACAGCACGGGTCGTACAGCACAGTATGATTATGAGAGCTGTACGGGGGACAGGACAGCAGCCCCCTCCTGTCCCATACAGCACGGGTCGTACAGCACAGTATGGTTATGAGAGCTGTACGGGGGACAGGACAGCAGCCCCCTCCTGTCCCCACAGCACGCGGTCGTACAGCACAGTATGGTTATGAGAGTACAGGGGCACAGTACAGCAGCCCCATCCTGTGAGAGTCGTACAGCACAGTATGGGGGACGGGGGACAGGCAGCAGCCCCTCCTGTCCCATACAGCACGGGTCGTACAGCACAGTATGATTATGAGAGCTGTACGGGGGACAGGACAGCAGCCCCCTCCTGTCCCATACAGCACGGGTCGTACAGCACAGTATGGTTATGAGAGCTGTACGGGGGACAGGACAGCAGCCCCTCCTGTCCCATACAGCACGGGTCGTACAGCACAGTATGGTTATGAGAGCTGTACGGGGGACAGGACAGCAGCCCCCACCTGCCCCATACAGCACGGGTCGTACAGCACAGTATGATTATGAGAGCTGTACGGGGGACAGGACAGCAGCCCCTCCTGTCCCATACAGCACGGGTCGTACAGCACAGTATG